GGAACCAAAGACATCTCCCCATGTTCAAGGTCACCATTTACCTGAATCAGCAGATTCACATCCTGTCTGCATTTGGAATTTAAACCTGTAATCAACATTACTGTCACATCACTCTAACACATCTCTTTCTCCATCCTGTGCAATAACAAGGCAGAGAGGTCTCAAAAACAGGATGCCAGAATCAATGATCCCTCATGTGCTGAAGGAGGAATATCTTTCCCGGCTGTGCGAGGATTGGGATTACGTGTAAGAAATACCCAATTAGTAACCAGTCATTCACCCATGTTTCCTTAATCTCTTTTGACCTGGGGATTTTGCATCAGTAAAATGAGGGGCTGGGTTGTGTTAATCACTTTCCAAGTTTTTTGACTCTGACCACAGTAATACCCACAAACCAATGGGTGTATTTGAATACATCTTAAAATGTTTTTTCACTGAATTTCACCCATTCAACATTTGATGCATCCTGATAATCAATATTCTATTTTTTTAAAATAAATTCTCTTTGTCATGATCATTAAGATGATTTAAAGACCTAGTAAAGGGGATACCCTGGCAGTTTGAAAAGTACTGGGTAATTTTCAAGTTATCATTTATTCATTTACTTGGTCAATCATTTTATAACTGTTTATTGAGTATTTATGAGGTGCCGGACACTGTGACGGAAGCTGAGAAAACGGCACTGAACAAAGGACTTATCCTTGGGAAACTTACATACTGTGGAATCTCTAATTCTGTGAAGTCATGTTTGATAGAATTTTTCAGAGGGAAGGAAATTCCAAGTGAGTCAGTTAAGATAATAGAATGGGTTTGACTTAGAGGAAAAAGCATCAGAAACACCATTTTTTTCAACCCTCTAGAAGGAACCCACTGCAAGACTAAAATAGTCTAAGGTTGTGTGATTTTTGTGTCAAATGAAGATTTCCTGTGTGTCCTAAACCTTCAGAATCTGCTTGGAAATCACTGTGGGTGCTTCACTCTTCTTTTTTCATACTTAGCAAAGATCAGAGTGGTTGATCAGCATGTTTTGGCAGATTCCAGAGAACATGGAGTAATAGAAATGAAGGATAGAGAGCATCTGACCAAGGTACATGCCCTTGCAAGGTGTCACCTCCATCAGTCTAATTCAGTTCAGTCACTCAGTCGTGTCCGACTCTTTGTGACCCCATGGACTGCAGCATGCCAGGCCTCCCTGTCCATCACCAACTCCCGGAGCTTGCTCAAACTCATGTCCATTGCATCGGTGATGCCATCCAACCATCTCATCCTCTGTCATCCCCTTCTCCTCCTGCCTTCAAGCTTTCCCAGCATCAGGGTCTTTTCCAAACAGTTCTAAGCATCAGGTGGCCAAGGTATTGGAGCTTCAGCTTCAGCATCAGTCCTTTCAATGAATATTCAGGACTGATTTCCTTTAGAATTGACTGGTTTGATCTCCTTGCAATCCAAGGGACTCTCAAGAGTCTTCTCCAACACCACAGTTCAAAAGCATCAATTCTTTGGCGCTCAGCTTTCCTTATAGTCCAACTCTCACATCCATACATGACTACTGGAAAAACCATAGCTTTGACTAGACGGAAACTTGGTGGCAAAGTAGCGTCTCTTCTTTTTAATATGCTGTCTAGGTTGGTCATAGCTTTTCTTCCAAGGAGCAAGCATCTTTTAATTTCATGCCTGCAATCACCATCTGCAGCGACTTTGGAGCCCAAGTCACCTCCATGGCCACTCACTAGCAACACCGCCAGTACTTCCAAACCTCATTGAGTTTGATTTACACAACCCATGCTGTACCACTTTTATCCAGCAGAGGGCTGTAGTGCATCACAGTTATTGCAGAAAGCCGGCTGGATATTAATCCTGTGATGTTAAGGTACTAAAAAATAACGACGTCCCAGAATTGTAAACAAACTCTGGGTAAAAGCCAACTCTGGCCAAAATGCTGGAAAAGGAGATTTATTTAGGCAACTGCTTTCAGGCTCTGCTCTCCGACCTCTCCCATCAAGAGTCCCTGAGAGATGTCATCCTGCCCAAGAGGCCCTCTATCAGCTTTGGCTTCCTGGAAGTCTGATATTCCCTAATTTTTCCATCCCCCAAGTTTCGTAGCACCCTCTAAGGTCATGCAACGTCCCTATGGCCTTCTGAGTCCAGGCTTTATGTCCAGCCTTCCTAACACGGCACTTTCCACTTTAGCTGCCTGGGATGGGCAGGCTCCGGCCCTCTTCCACAAGGTGAGAAATGGTGAATGCAATCCATGCTGAGTCATCATGTTTAGGAGAAACGGGATGTAAACTCTTAATCACAGCCCCCCCCTCTCGGGTTTCATGCAGTTTTCTGAAGCCCTGTCTTACCTACTCCCCTCAACCTTCTTCACAGACATGGACCTGTGCTTAGCACAGCTGCAATACTGCCTGGCTTCACCTCCTCAGAGGTGAAGTCATTTTTATGAGGCCACAGACCAAGAGAAGTTTCCTTCAGCATGCATGTCTAGGTCTGAAAGTAGTTAAAACACTCTATTACGGGTATCATAGTATGCCCTTCTGGGAAAGAAAGGCATTTGACCAGAAGGCACTGCCCCAATAGGAATAGATGCCATAAAGGACAAGAAACTTAGGAAGGACTCACCGTTTCCAAGTCTGCTGGCTCTTTTCCTACCAGCCCAGTGAATACAGACCCCGGGGCAACTCTACACTGAGTCCAGAGGGGCTCTTGAAGTGTATCCTAATGCCATGGATTTACTTTAATTAAGAGAAAGGGTGGTGGCGGGTGGTGGGGGATGGATCGTATAACTAGGAACAGTGTAAGTTTATCATGAAGAGTCAGCAAGGATCATAGTGTCCAGTGACTCTGAGGCTGAACTTGCCATCTTGAAATATTCTCCCAGTGGCTGACTTCTGTCAAATGAAAAAAAAAAAAGCAAAACCTAAAAGTTGAGAATTATGTTTTCTTCAGTGGGCTTTTTGAGGACTCAAACCAGGAAGACAGTCTCTAAGCTCCAAGCAACTACCATAAAGAGGTAAGGGAGGAGCCAGGAGTTTTGCAATAAAAAACAGGTGGTCAGAACATTAAAAAATTACTGTTAATTAAAGAAGAGCAGACATCTCAAGTTAATGAATGAGTGATTTTCTTTGTATGAGAAGATGCAAGAGTCTGGGCTCACTGAACTCATTCTTTGATAGGCACTTTACCATCCAGGACCAGTATTCTGCTTTTCTCCATCCTAAATCCCCTCAGCATGCACAGTTGTGGATGACTTCTGTGACTCATGGCTTAAAGGTTGCAAAATCTTTTTATTTACTGATATGGTGACATCCTTTGTCCACACTGCCCTTCTAGGTCAGTGGCTAAGATAAAATGTAATGGACAGATACTTTTAAAGTCTTTAGTATCATTACAATGCATTGATTCAAAAAATGTATTAAACACCTACATTAGGGCACTACACCAATAAAAAATAAAAAATCTGGAAAGGTGAAAAAGGGAGTGGGGGACAAAAATGGGAAATAGAAGTAGTTAGGGGAGAGCAAGTGTTATCAGAAAAGAAAAATCTTTGGGCAAGGTGTGGAGACAGCCACCAATAACTACTTCATGTGCCATTAGTGGATTGATGTCCTGGGCCCCCTGAGGTTTATGCCTGTTAGTGAAACCCATCAGGGGGATTTGCTCTGACAAGCAGCAGTAAAACTAAAGCCTTTGTCTGTATTGGCAGTAAACCACCCATGACATGGATGCCTTTGGCGTGAAGCTTCCTACTCTATTGCACTCCGTTAAACTGGCTCATTCTCAGAAACAGCTGTTATAAAAATCAGATGCCTGGGCCCCATTTCAAACCCAGTGAATCCAATGTCCAGGCATCTGGGTTTTGTTTTTCTTTTTAAGCTCCTTAGCGCTGCTGAGAGCTTGTTTTTTCTTTCTTGAAGATGTTTCAAAAACAGGATTACATTTTTTAAGGGATAATAATGTAAACAAGTTTTGTAAAAAGAGTACCGACGATTTTGACAATTTATCACCGCACTTATTTGCTTTTCTCCTATGACAAATTTTTCTTGGAAGATGTATTTCCCCTCGTGGGTCTTAACTTTTTATTGCAACTGTAGGTAGTGGATACTAAAGACTCGGAGAATCGACAGGAGCGCCTTGTAGCTCTCCAGTCAACAAATATTGAGTGTCCTGCTGCGAATGTGTAAGATGGATGGGGGGGGGGGGGGGCGCGGTCCATCCACCAAGGCCTGTGAAGGAGAATGTAGAAGTACAATGTGCTGCGCTTAGTCGCTCAGTCGTGTCCGACTCTTGGCGACCCCAGGGACTGTATGTGGCTCGCCAGGCCCCTCTGTCCATGGGATTCTCCAGGCAAGAACACTGGAGTGGGTTGCCATTTCCTTCAGAAAGGTAAAGTAGGAAGAAACTTCAACGCGGTAGTTGGAGGATTAGGCACCAGTCAGTTGCTTTTGTTTATTGAACATCCTTAACAACAGAAATACAATCATGAATAATTCTCAGTCCCTGGCCCCAGGAAAGCACGGGTTCGGGAGAAGTTAACACTTTCAACCGGAACCAGCCAGTGACACTTCCGTGTGAACTGGGACAGGAGCCTTTTTCCCACAGGTGGGACAAGAGCGAGCGGGCGGGGCGAGGTGAGGACTGGGGTGGAGCGAAGGACCGCCCCTTCCCCTGTAACTGATCTAAGGCCCCGCCCGGAACCCAGGCCGTCAAGAGGAGAACCATCACGTCATCCTACAACCACCTCCTCCCGCCCCGCGTTCTCACGCGACTGCGCGGGGCGGGGCTAGCTCCCCTCGGCCACACTCCCGCGAGAACGTCTAGTCCACGGGCTGCGCACGCGCGGGCCGGGCACGCCTGCGTCTCAGGCCCCGCCCCTCTTCCGCGAGCGTTCGGCATGTTTGGCGTTACCATGGAGCTGCCGGGCCGCCCAGAACGCCGCTGGTCCCCTTGGCAACGCGGGAGGACCAAACCCGACCCGGGTGGCGGCGGCGAGAGCGGCCGCAATGGTGTCTAACCCAGTGCATGGCCTGCCTTTTCTCCCAGGCACGTCCTTTAAGGACTTAACGGTGAGGACTTCTCCGGCCACCCCCCTGACCCCACCTCCTGGCAGCCTTGGAGGGCTCGCAGCAGGTTGCGTCTCTTCTCGTCCACGCGAGTTTGTCCCTTTCCCCTTCAAACCCTCTTTCTGCCCCCAACTCTGTTCTCCCCCGCACCACCACACCCGCCCTCACCCTCTTTCTCCAGTTAGTTCGCAGCCCATCCCTCTCTGGTTTTTCCACTCCATCCTGGCAGTCTGTTGGCCTCCCAGCGTTCTTCCTTGATGCGCTGCTCTTGCTGGTTTTCCCCACCTGGTTCCCGAGCTCCTTCGGCCTTCTCCCTAGCTCATTCTCCCTTCTGCATACCTCTCCTGCCCAGTTCCATCCTTAAACTCTTCTTCCCTCAACCGGGGCCTCTTCCCCGACTCAGCCTCTACACGCCCACCCACTCTCCCCAAGCCCATCATTGCCGCCCGCATTTTTCCTCTTCTGAATCCTAGACCCAGTAATCGCTCCCACTCCCAACTCCATTTCCACCTGTTGGCTTCTTTCTGCCAGGTCCTTTCCCGCTGTCTCATTTATGCTTCTACGAAGCCCTATCTTCTTTTCTGTCCAGCACTTCGACTTTTTCTGCAGTCTTGTTTAATCCTTTTTTCCCCAAATGCTCTTGCTCGTAAAGTTAAATTTTCAACACTTGGCCATCTTCCTCCCAAACCATCCTCAGGTGATTTGTGGGAGATAATTGCACTTTTCGCTTTTAACATTTTTATAAAAGATTGCTGTTTGGATTTTGTTTCACTCCTCCCCTGCCGTAAGTGTTTTTAGTTGTATCCTCTAGACAAAACTGAAGAGGAAAAAAAAATAGACTTGTGTGTTTTTTTTTTCCCCCCTCTGAGACAGTTTAGCCCTTGACAAAATTATGATTTTAATACTGAAATTTCAGGGTGCTGAAATATGTGTTGGAAGGTCAGCATTAAGATTCAATAGACTGATTTTCAAAGATGAAACAATAATCATTTATATTTATGTAGTTTAACAATTGAAACTGTAAGTTCCTCTCCTTGGTCATAAAGGTAAGGTAAAAAAGTGGAGACTGACTGCTCACTTGGCTCTTCCTTTCCTGTTGAGGGGAGTTGTCTCCTGGCACTGAATAGTGCTGGTTTGGAGAATGGGATGATACAGACAAAATGAGGTAGTCTTCCTTCTCTTCCTGTATGAATATCGTTGGTTTTTTTTTAATCCCACTGTGTTGCTGAAACCTCCTATATGGACCTCTTCCAGAGTTCTTGTTTGTGGATAGCTGTCCGACCACTGATCTTTGTGGAGTGGTGGGGAGGCTGGGTTTCCTTGCCACTGTTTTGATCTCCTTCCTTCAAAAATATTTCCTTTTCACTTTTTTCTTTTTTATATAATCTTTTGTTTTTTTTCCGGTTATCAAAAAGAATGTGTTGATTGTAAAAAAGAAAAACATAATTCAGAAATGTATAGAACAGAGAACATTCTCCAAAGCAGTCTTTTTGTGCATGTGTTTGCATGCTTGTAATTGTAGTACAAGTATACTTTTATAAACTGCTTTTCTGGGCTTATTAAATCATAAACATTTCCCCCAGATTGCTGCATGATCTTCAAAACCAGGATTTTAAAAGCCGCACAATAGCCCATTAAGCGAGCTTTCTATCATTTGCTCCTTCTTGTCTTTCAGATTGCTTCTCATGTTTTGCTGGATTGTAATTAACATTGTAATTGTCAGCATTAGGCATACTGTTCTTCCCATGCTTTTGGATTATATGCTTAAAGGATGGAGGGTGGAATTATTGAGTTTGACTTTAAATCCATAATATCCATTTGCTTTCCAAAGAGTTATATGAATATATTAGTGTCACTGTAGCAAGAGGGCCTTTCATTTCAGGTAAGAATTCATTTCACACATTTGGATTGTTTTGGTTCCATGACTTATGACCACCAGATAAGATAGTACAAAATTAGGAGTCTACATAAAGATATTTTAGTTTTTTGTGGTAGGTGAGCTGATGATTAAAATTGGATGTTCAGTAACAGGGCTTTAAGTTTTATTTTAAGCTCAGGCTGCTGCCTCCCTCCTTGTTCCTGGCCACGGGTTTTAGCTTAAAAATACAAGAACCTTCCCATGTAGGTTAAATTTTTGATACAGGGTTTGTGGATGTTTATAAGTAAAGGTTGAATCTGATACCTTTGGAAGTTAGCTCTTCTACCTAACAAATATTTGTTATATCACAACACACTTCTTTTTTCCTTCAGAAAACAGCATTTCATAGAAGCCAGACGCTGGGCTATAGGAATGGCTATGCAGTTGTTCGGCGTCCAACAGTTGGGATTGGCGGGGACAGGCTCCAGGTCAACCAGCTGTCCCAGGCTGATCTGGACGAGCTGGCCAGCAAAGTCCCAATCCTCACGTATGGCCAGCCCAGGCAGGCCCCACCCGCACAGTTTGTTCCTGCTCATGTGGCTTTCGACAAAAAGGTATCATCTGGGATCAAAGGGTACCCCTTAAATTCAGATTTCTGAGAGCCAGCTGTTTGCAGAATAGTCAGTAGTAAACCACAGGCTTTCCAGATTCTCTGAGGAAAAAATTGTTCAAATGCCTCAACCCTTAGTCATAGACAGCTGGACTCAGGATTGAAAGACTCTCTTTATTCAGGAAGCTGATTACAGAAAATAATTCCCTGTAGATGTCACTGAAATATTTTCTAAATACTGTTTTAAAAAGTTGGATGAGTTCTGAATTCTTGAGTTCATATTGCTGTATTTACCTGTTTGATGTGTTTTCCACATTTTAAAAGTCCTGTATTCTGTAGTAATGACACATGCTTAATCTCTGTGAAATGCAAAAATATCATGAAAATTACTTCATCTGTCATCAGTTTTTGTCTAGGCTGTTTCCGTAAGTTTTTGTTTTTCAGGGAGCATTTCAGATTTGTCTTAACTTAACCAAAGGGTAGTATAACATTTTTGTTTTATTTATTCCTATGCTTTTGTAATGTGAGTTGTTTTATTTCCATCTGTTAACATTTCCACATCATTCTTGATTTTCCTTTGTCAGTGAGCTTTCTCTTTTCACTAAGGTGAGGTTGTCCTAACCCTGGCCATGTAGCAGAATTACTGACGGGACTTTTAAGAAACTTGGGTGTCACGCCAACCCTTCATTGATTCTCATTTCCCAGTGATGTCTGTATATAACTGGATGTGACAACTACTAATCAGTAGTTAGCTGTCTTCATTTACTCCTTGCCTATATTACTTGTCTGCTTTCTTGGTCTTACAGAGTACTTACTGAAGCTAGAGGCAGAAAGGTACAAAATAATCTTGTGGAAATTTGCCATTTGCACTGGTAATCACTTAATTAGAAGAAAGTTGTTTGTTTTTTTTTTAACTATATCAGCCATAATCTATATCCTCTCCCCTTCCCCATCTCAGCTAACTCATTTGATACAGTGAGTATCAAATTCATAGGCTTTCCTTTCATAGGCTGAACCTAAACATCCATTATCAGTGATATGATTTTGTATGTCTTAACTTTGTTCTTGTTTCTCCTGTTTATTTACAGCTGTGATAGGCAGTGCAAAGCCAATAGAAAAGGGAGAGGGCTGAAAATACAAGAGAGGAGTGAGACAGGCATTTTTAACAGTTTGTGCTGTGTTAAGTCACTTCAGCTGTGTCCAACTCTGTGACCCTATGGACTGGGGCCCACCAGGCTCCTCTGTCCATGGGATTCTCCAGGCAAAACTACTGGAGTAGCCTGCCATGCCCTCCTCCAGGGGATCTTCCTGACCTAGGGATTAAACCAACATCTCTTATGTCTCTGGCATTTGCAGGCAGGTTTTAACAGTTTATCAAGATATAAGAGGTTATGTTCAATTTTTACTGAAAACAATAGCAAATAACTATTGTAAACTAGAAAGTGAAAAAGTATTAATGAAATTCAAAGAAAATTGTGCCTAATAGGAAATAAGCTTCTTATTTTTTGTTTTTCTATGTAATTTTATGCTAATTGTCATTACTTAGTTTATACTTTTTAAATACTACAATTCATTTCTTTAAAGATAATTGTGTGAAAAGAATATTTACATTTTTTCTACTCATTTTACTGGAATCATCATAATTTCTTGAGAAATAATTCTTACCATAGATTATGAAGTAGAGTAGTTAAATGCATGGTTTTGAACCTAAGATTTTTTTTTTTCGCAGTAAGGAAATTATGGGTTCTGTGAATTAAATCAGAGTTTAAATTTTTTGAGAATACTCAGAAATCCACTTCATAGCCAAGATATGTGTCCATATTTTGGACATTCTTCATGCCATTCCTCATGATTAGAATATAACTGGCTATAACGATCTCTTACGTAGATGATAAAGACCAGGACATCTCCAGGGAGGGCCTGTGTCTTCCCCCTTTGCTCCTGTACCGTTCTCATCATTCCCCAGGCTGACTTCCCACTCTGTGGTGTTCTTCTTTCATCTTTTTCATCCTTCATCCTACTGCCACTTCAAACACTCAGGGGACTGCTTCTCTACCTAAAAAAAAAAACAAAAACCTACCTTCTTTCTGCTTGGTTTATTCCTCAAAGCACAGCTCTGAGCACATCACTTCTCTAGGAGAATATAACCACTGCCCAGCTACTCTAGCCTACAGTGGTCCCAATCCGTGACTGTAAATGCACAAAGAGAGATTAGGATTCATTTGTACTGATCATATGACATAATTCTATAAGGTTTGATTTAAATAACTCATTAACATTTTAAAAACAGAATACACAAAATCCTGATTATTTGAGCCTTTAAAATGTGGTGTGTGTGTATGTATCTTTTTCCTGCTTCCCATTCTGAGGCCAGCTTTCTGTTGCCAAAGGTATCTGCATCCCCTCCACCTTAGAAAACAGATGGCTTAGGAAGCTGGATATGCTCCAGGGTTCAATGTTTGTTCTTCTCCTTTGTCTTTGCTCACTCCTTGACTCCAGACTCTTGTCTTGAAATGTCCTTTACATGATGAACTGTGTCCTGAATTCTAGATGAATTACCCATTTGACATCTCCTCTTGAATGTTTAATGGATATCTCAAAAGTAAACATGTTCAAAAGAAACCCCTAATTTTGTTTCCTCATCCCCCAAATATGCTCCACTGCAGTCTTCCCCATATCAATGTGATTGTAGTTCCATTTTTTTCAGTTGCTCGGGTCAAAATATTTGAGTCATTTTTTTTTTTCTAATGCTGACTTCTTTCCCCAAACCCAGCTCTACATCTCAAGTCGCCTCCTTCAGTATTAACTGTGCTGTCACTTAAATTCAGTAAGCTGAAATTCGAGCCCCCCATCTGCACTACCAAAGTTATCTTCTCAGATAAATCTGTGTAAGTCTGTGGTTCAAATACTATTATGTACATGAATAACTGATCATGTCTTCATTTCATTCTTTGCAGTTGCTGTAAAATGTTACTTTAAAAGGATCTTTGTATTTGGCTTTTACTGTATGGTTTTTCTGCTTTAAACATTCTGCTACATTCATCCATTTCATATTTTGATGATGAGTTTTAAGGCCCTGACTCCATTACATTCATATTTCTGCTATGCAGTTGCCCATTCTTTTTTGGTTTTTATCTTATTCTTCCACAGTAGATGTTATACATTATTTCATCTTCTCCTCCATTGAGCCATAATTGTGTCTTCACTAAAGAGTCTCCTTGGCATGTTCCCCTTGTTTCAATAGAATTGGGTTTGGGTTAACACACTTGCTTCCCTGAAACATCATTCTAATATGTTCTTGCCTTGAAAAGAAATGTTAAAAATAGAATAATAGAAACTTAAAAATCCCAGTTTGTGCCATTTTGACTTTACACTGATGCTGCTGCTTCCAGAAGACCTGGGATTTGCTCCATCTGGGATGGTTGTTTCTGAGCACAAAATGGGTATTTACAAGCCACCCAAAGATGTGGTGGAGGGTTGATTTGAGATTCATTATATAAAGTCTCTAAGAATGAATGTCATTAATATATGTTTACAAGGCACCCCACTTCTAAAGAAATGGACTTGAGATTTGGTTTTCATTTTGAAGCCAAAAGTCATCTTCTTGTCCAAATTTCTTATCCTTTTCACAAATTTGAAATGGAATATTTGATGTTGAAATAAAGCTAGTAGAGTTAAGTCTTTAAGGAACATATTAGTAAACCATCTACCCCTATTTTGAGTATTTAGTGCAGAGGTCAGCAAGCTTTTTCTGTAAAGGGCCAAATAAATAAATATTTGGGGCTTTGTGACTGACTTAGTTTGCTTGAGCTGCCATAATAAAATACAGACAGACAGGTGGCTTAAACAATAGAAATTGATTTTCCCACAGTTCTGGAGGCTTCAAGTCCAAGATTGCTGTTGATTTGGTTTCTGGTGAAGGCTTTCTTCCTGCCTTTCAGACGGCTGCCTTCTTGCTGTGTCCTCATGTGGCCTTTCCTCAGTGCACGTGTGCTGGGAGGGAGGGAGGGAGGGAGGGAGCCCGCTTCCTCCTCTTAGAAGGCCACCAGTCTGTTAGATTGGGGCTCCACCCTCAGGACTCACGTAGTCTTACTTAGCTCTTAAATACCTTATCTCCAAATATAGTCATGGTGAAGGTTAAGTTTCCAACACTGCTTATTGTGGAGGTGGGGACATAATTCAGTTCACAGCAGCAGTCCAACTACTCAACTCTGCCCTTATGGGAAGGCAGCCATTAGCAATTATATGTTAAGTTGTATGGTTCCCATGTGTTTTGAAATTTTGTTCTCCTTTTGATTTTTCGACCATTTGAATGTATTAAAAACTGTTCTTAGTTGCAGGTTCTATAGAAACAAACAGCAGGGATAGATTTGTCCCGTGATCATAGCTTGGCAGCCTTTGAATTACAAGGTGGGAATGATGAATATTTGAACCTCCCTGAGTGGTGGTTCTTGGCATGAGAAGGGACTTGGTATTTTTTGATGAGACACTAACACACCATTTCTTCCACCCTTCTGTATTACAGGTGCTTAAATTTGATGCCTATTTCCAAGAAGATGTTCCTATGTCAACTGAGGAACATTACAGGATCCGCCAAGTGCACATTTACTACTATCTGGAAGATGACAGCATGTCTGTCATAGAGCCTATTGTGGAAAACTCTGGGATCCCTCAAGGAAAGTTAATCAAACGCCAGTGCCTTGCCAAGAATGACCGGGGAGACCATTACCATTGGAAAGACCTAAACCGAGGAATAAACATCACAATTTATGGCAAAACTTTCCGCATTGTTGACTGTGACAAGTTCACACAGGTATAGTATGTGTTTTTGGAAGTTTTGGTGTCTGAGGCATTGTTCTAATCTATGAGAGAATACATGTCACTTGTTAGGGTAAGAGGAGGGCATTGATCCTCTGTCCCGAGTGGGTTAATATGTAGGTTAACTTGGCATTTGTGTATGTCATATGTGGCATCATGGGCTTCCCAGGTGGCGCTAGTGGTAAAGAGCCTGCCTGCCAGTTCAGATATGCAGATGACACCACCCTTATGGCAGAAAGTGAAGAACTAAAGAGCCTCTTGATGAAAGTGAAAGAGGAGAGTGAAAAAGTTGGTTTAAAGCTCAACATTGAGAAAACTAAGATCATGGCATCTGGACCTATCACTTCATGGCAAATAGATGGGGAAACAGTGGAAACAGTGGCTGACTTTATTTTTCTGGCTCCAAAATCACTGCAGATGGTGATTGCAGCCATGAAATTAAAAGATGCTTACTCCTTGGAAGGAAAGTTATGACCAACCTAGACAGCATATTAAAAAGCAGAGACATTACTTTGTCAACAAAGGTCTGTCTAGTCAAGGCTATGGTTTTTCCAGTAGTCATGTATGGGTGTGAGAGTTGGACTGTAAAGAAAGTTGAGAGCTGAAGAATTGGTGCTTTTGAACTGTGGTGTTGGAGAAGACTCTTGAGAGTCCCTTGGACTGCAAGGAGATCCAACCGGTCCATCCTAATGTAGATCAGTCTTGGGTGTTCATTGGACGGACTGATTTTGAAGCTGAAACTCCACTACTTTGGCCACCTGATGCGAAGAGCTGACTCATTTCAAAAGACCCTGATGTTGGGAAAGATTGAGGACAGGAGGAGAAGGGGATGATAGAGGATGAGATGGTTGGATGGCATCACCGACTCAATGGACATGGGTTTGGGTAGACTCTGGTGATGGCCTGGCATGCTGTAGTTCATGGGTCGCAAAGAGTCAGACACGACTGAGCGACTGAACTGAACTGCACTGAAGAGATGCAGGTTCGATCCCTGGGTTGGAAAGATGTCCTGGAGGAGGGCGTGGCGACCCACTCCGGAGTTCTTGCTTGGAGAATCCCATGGACAGAGGAACCTGGCGGGCTACAGTCTATAGAGTCACACAGAGTCAGACATGACTGAAGCGACTTAGTACACATGCACATATGTACCATCACTGCATACTGACATCATTTTTTTCACGATGACATTGGTACATATCCTAAATGGATATTTGAGTAATAAAGTTAAACTCCCATTGTGGCTGAATCATTTGGTTAGAAATCAGTTCACATGCCAGTTCAGATAGAGAGTAGTAGAGCTGGGACCCTTGAAGGGATAGAAATATGAAAGAGACAGTGGGCAATTTAGCTTAAGTCTGGATTTACAAAAATAGCACTATCTCTACTAGCAGATATGAGCCAAAAGTTTTTTGTGTGGTTTGTATTTTTTCTGGAGCTCATACTTGCTGTACACTAGGGAAACTTGCTATCTAAAAAATTCCTGGAATAAACCATTTTTAAAGAAAAACACATATTGAGGAAAATCCTCATTTCTCTATTTCATATGTAATGGATTTTTGACAGCTTTAATTGTAGAGAGAGGAGAAAAAGAGCAAAAGAGAGCACTTTCTTTAGCACAAAATGTAGATATTAGTAAATAATTGCAAATTTGCTTTTACCATGCACCGAGCCCGTATGAGTTCACTCATTTATTTTTTTTTAATTAGTAATTTATTTAGCAAATACTTAGTACCTGTTGAATGCCAGGCACTGTTCTAGGTGCCAGGTATAAAGATTTGCCCTTACAGAAGTTACTACATTCTGGTTGGAGGAGACAAATAATAAGCAAATAAATGTATGTCAGATGCTGCAAAGAGCTATGGAAGAAACTAAATAGGGGAAAGGGCTTGGAGTTGGAGGGGGTGCAGTATGTGAAGTCTGGCCAGGGAAGGCCTCACTGATGAGATGTCTCAGGGGCAGGATCTCAGGGCAGTGAGGGGGAGAACCATGGCATCCGTGCTTCCCCCAGAGCAGCCAAGAAAACCGTAGAGAAGGTGGAGGTACCAGACCATCTTTGAGAGACTGTCCCCCTCAAGTGGGCCTTGATATCTCTTTTTAGGTTTTTGAAGTCCTTTTTATCATAAGCAATTCCAGGATTGTGCCACCGGTGAAAAATTATGAAGTGTTATATGAATTTGAGGCATCACAGTTGTTTTTACAGTCACATCTTTACAGTTTGAACATTTGCAAGTTGATCCCTGAGCTGTTGATCTAAGCCAGTTACAGTCACTTCTCTTTATTAATGGTAGTTATGTGCAGTACAGTCTTCACAGACACTGAATTAACAAATACTGAACCATTACCTAAGAGAAATGCTGAGCTGGGTTCCTCCAAGCCTGTGGTCAATAACACAGTCTTGTTCTGTGTGTTGTTTCTGTTTACATATTATTGATTCATTAACTTTGAGGTCCTGGCCAACAGCAGTGTAAGTCATGCCTGAATGAAGCTTAACTGACACTTGTAATTTTTCCTTAAGGTACATCACAGCTGCCTTTTATTTTTTGCGGTAAAATGTAGGTAAGATGAAATTCAGCACTTTAACCTTTTCTAGATGTACTGACTGCTTACAAGTCCTCTTGTACTGAGAACATGAGACAGCACCGTAGCACTAAGGTTGGGGGCCACTTCAAACTGCAGAATCGCCTGCAGAAAGCAAATAAGTGAGAAAAAGTGGCTGGCTCCAAATAGACGGAAAAGGACGTCCGTTCACTGTGAAACCTGAAGCAAGGCAGAACTTCCCAGTGTTCAACCTCAGCTGAGAGTGTGCATCAGACGACTCAGAATTTCCACTGCTCCATGCTTGGCTGGAAAGGACCACAGAAGTTCCACAAGGGTTGATTAAGTTGATAAGATTTAGCAGGTAGACAAATTTGCAAATACAGAAATTTGTGGATGATGAAGATCTACTGACTGATAGACAAAAGCTTAGTGTTTTTTTTTTTCCCCCACAGAGCCGTGCTGGTTCTGCAGCTCTGTGGCAAGCCGCGGACTTGGGGTTCTGTTCCGCAGGACGGGGTTTGTGAAAGTTGTCAAGAACAAGGCCTACTTCAAGAGATACCAAGTGAAATTCAGAAGAAGGCGAGAGGGCAAAACTGACTACTATGCTCGGAAACGATTGGTTATCCAAGATAAAAATAAGTACAACACACCTAAATACAGAATGATTGTTCGTGTAACGAACAGAGATATCATTTGTCAGATTGCTTATGCCCGTATAGGAGATATGATAGTTTGTGCAGCTTATGCTCACGAACTCCCAAAATATGGTGTGAAGGTTGGCCTGACAAATTATGCTGCAGCATATTGTACTGGCCTGCTGCTGGCCCGCAGGCTTCTTAATAGGTTTGGTATGGACAAAATTTATGAAGGCCAAGTCGAAGTGACTGGAGATGAATACAATGTGGAAAGTATTGATGGTCAACCTGGTGCCTTCACCTGTTACTTGGATGCAGGACTTGCCAGAACTACTACCGGGAATAAAGTTTTTGGGGCCCTAAAGGGAGCTGTCGATGGAGGCTTGTCTATCCCTCACAGTACCAAACAGTTCCCTGGTTATGATTCAGAAAGCAAAGAATTCAGTGCTGAGGTACACCGAAAGCACATCATGGGTCAGAACGTTGCAGATTACATGTGTTACCTGATTGAAGAAGATGCTTATAAGAAACAATTCTCTCAGTACATAAAGAACAACGTAACTCCAGACATGATGGAGGAGATGTATAAGAAAGCTCATGCTGCAATACGAGAGAATCCAGTGTATGAGAAGAAGCTTAAGGAAGAAGTTAAAAAGAAGAGGTGGAACCGTCCCAAAATGTCACTTGCCCAGAAGAAAGATCGGGTAGCTCAGAAGAAGGCAAGCTTCCTTAGAGCTCAGGAACGAGCTGCTGAGAGCTAAACCAAACCACAATTTTCTATCAAGATTTTTCAGATAAGACAATAATAAACTTATTGAACAAGCAAAAAAAAAAAAAAAAAAAGCTGAGTGTTTCAGGTGCTGATGATTAGATTATGTTTTCAATAACTGATCTGTTAGAAGTTGGCTCCTATAATAGTTTAAAGTTTGTCCACATCTTACCTAATTTGATGGTTTTCGCCGTGGCTGGACCTATGAGTGAATAAGAAAGGAAACTGTCTTTCCAGTGTGATATGGACAAGGCACCATCTCTGTTTACACATATCATCATCACCATCCATTCTCACTCCCTCCTCAGGCCCTGCATAAATGGTCCCACAGACAGTGAGCTGAATGTGAGATTCCAGGCCCTAGGAATAGCAAGGAAGCAGCAGCGTTCCCAGACCTAACGGGGTCATCCAGGGTCCACAGGTTGTCTGGTGGCCAGAGCACCTTCCTGGAGCGTGGTGCCGAGTAAGAGACTAGAGTCTGAACACCTGTGTTGGCGGACTGCACCTGGACTTGGAGCATCTGTGCAGAGTGGGGAGTCTTGCTCTTCTCAGGCCCATCAGTCTGTGTCTTAGTTTCCTGTCTGGGGGAATTCCCTCCCCCACTTCTCTCTCCTGCTCTCAAAGACACTCCCTTCTCTCTGCTCCCCCAGGGACACTTTAGAATAACCACTTCAAAGAGCTTGGGCTTTTTTCTAAGAGACAGGAAGAATAGTCAACTTCAGGAAGCTTCTACATTCCTGCCAAAACTTTAAATACTAAGATTACAAGCTAGTTTGCAGAACTGATAATAGAGCCCATATATTCTGTCCCTGAATTCTGTACATTTTGTATGGAATTGTCCAAAAGCAAACCACACAATCCCCCAAAGAAACCCACATTAATTTCCAGTTCCAGAATGTAAACAGATCCCAGGAAATTGTTTTTTTGTGCTCGACAAAAGAGTTAGTTTATTGTGCTTTTAAGAAGAATCGAGTTGTTTTAAATATATAGTGACTTAAAATAATACATATTTGCTCATAATCAGCAAAATAAAATTCAAGATCACATCAAGTTCACATGGCTTTCTTTTAACTTTTTCTAGTGAGATTTGAGCCCCTGAGTCATCTTTCTTGTTGGACTGAAATATTTTTTGGTCTGAAATAACCAGTGGGTTTGCTTTCTTTACCTTTTTTTTTTTTTGGTGGGGAGTACTTAATCATATACTTGTTTTAATTGAGATGGCAAGCTGGGAATGTGATTTCAGCTTACCTTTTCCCTTGTGCAGCTGGCCGCCACGTGCTCTATGATGCGCTCAGTCCCGTCTGACTCTTTGGGACCCGTGGACTATAGCCCACCAGGCTTCTCTTTCTGTGGAACTTTCCATGCAAGAATACTGGAGTGGGTTGCATTTCCTGCTCCAGGGGGTCTTCCTGATGCAGGAATGCAGCCTGTGTCTCTTGGGTCTTCTTTATTGGCAGGCGGATTCTTTACCACCGTGCCACGTGGGAACCCCACTTGCCCCCCATACCTGAAATGAATTACATACTGTTCAGACTATGGTTAGGTTCCCAATGTATAAGCATTATGGTAAGTGTATATAAGCAATCCTAGTTTTCCCTCTGTTCCCTGGGCACCTAAATCTTAATTGATCTGAATTCATATTTGGAGCCAGTTACCTTGCCACCACATCTTCCATTTTTACTTAAGGTAATTATCAGTTATTGTCTACATTACACAATTGGGTCATTCAGAGGCTTGTTACTGCTAAGACATGCTCAAGCTTTAAACTAATGGTTAATGTGGGCAGTGGCTTAGAAATTCTTATTATATTAGTGTTTATTTTTACAGCATCACTTAGCACTTACTTTGAGAAGCTTCAAGAAGGATAATCATTATTGATTTTGAATTGCATAGGTATTTTTGGAAAGTCAGGGAATTGAGCTAAATCCCCCAGAGAAGATGGCGCTCGATCCTTACACTGAACTCCGGAAACAGCCTCTCCGTAAATATGTGACCCCAACGGACTTTGACCAACTCAAGCAGTTTCTCACCTTTGACAAACAGGTAGGTGAGTGACCCAGTAGGTTTGTTCCCAAAAATGGCACTGCTTATTAGCAAGCTGTCTTGGTAGGTGTGTATTTTGAAACATTGCAACTGTATTTTAACTGGTCAGGTACAGTGCTGTCTTTCTGGGGTTACAGGTACAGGAATCCCTAAATTTCATATCAGAGATTCAAAGAAGATTGTGAGTTGAGTCTTGTGAGTTCCACCAAACTTCTCTCTTAAAGTAATTCCTGAGCACCATCTGCTCCCTAACTTTACATTTCCCGCCGCCGACTTATTTTCCCAAATATGGATTAATCTCCAAAAATCCTTTGGGAAACCTTGAGTGAATTATTGGGATATTTCAAAGCTGTTTGCATATATGTAGGCTTCTAATGTTAAAATAATAATTTCAAAGCATTCCCATTGCAGATGCTTCCTTGTTAAATGTTATAATGCATTGATGTTTGAGTACAGAATGTTCTGGGTATTTTCCAACTCTGTTCCAGCCTGTCTTCCCCATTGTGAGCTGGTGTATAGAGCAGATTTGAGTCTTCCCTTCTCTGTACTAAAAGGAAAGAGAAAACAGCGAGATCACCCTCAGTGCTTTTCTGCTGCTGTTTCTCTCAGAAATGTAATTCCATTTAGTACAGAAAATTCTACCTAGCACTACCAAGTTCTTTTAAGAACATTCTTTAAATCAGTCATATGACTGTTACTATTTTGTAAAGGTTCTGTTTTTGAGGTTGAAAGAACTAAAATACTGATTAATAATTGAAAATTCTTTCCATACTAATTATATACAAACCATTCACGTGTACCTTTATTAATACTGAATTTTTTAATTAAAATTAAAGTTAATACTTTATTAACACTGAATGAAGGCCCCACTGCTCTTTTAATTCAGCTTCTCTTTCACTGACTAATATTTTGAATCAAAATGAATCCTTTCTCAGCACAAGCTTTTAAGCCTATTATTTAATACTTTCCAGCTGTTGACATCTGGTTTATAATTTCAGATGTTTTTGTATCTTTGGTGAATACTTTTTTTTTTAATAACCATCTGAGATTACTTCATAGTCTTTCTAGCTAATTTTTTCATCATTGATACATAAATGCCAAAGTAGCTAAGTTAAACTCTCCCCTAGTGGAATTTTTTTTTTAAGTCACTGCTTTGGGTTCTTCAAAGGTTCTTCGATTCTATGCCATCTGGGATGACACAGACAGCATGTTCGGGGAGTGTCGAACCTACATCATTCACTACTATCTTATGGATGACACGGTGGAAATTCGAGAGGTCCATGAACGAAATGATGGGCGAGATCCCTTCCCCCTCCTGATGAACCGCCAGCGCATGCCCAAGGTTTTGGTGGAGAATGCAAGTATGTGGGATTCAATTTATCCTCTATTCATTGGGACCTTTCCTGGATCTCAGAGGAGTTAGTCATGTGATCATCTCCTTTACACTTGGGAGGTGCCTGCTGTGTTCTGTAGGCTTTCCCGTAGGGGCCTCCATTACTGGCCCCTCAGTCCAAGCTTGTCTCTGAAATGGTCTGGCAGAGATGATTGATACCCAGATCAAGGGACCAGAACCAAAACAGCAGTGGGAGATTTATTAAACTGTGGAAGGGGAAAGGCTTCTGAGCCACTTCATGTCAGGTTTTTAGTGATTTCCTGAAACAGTCTTGTTTTCATTCAGAGGTACAGCTTACCGTTTCCTTATGTGCACTTTGGACTTTGCTTCTCACCTCAACCACTTCCTAATCAATCAGGAAGTTTCTGTGTGGAATAACTTCAGGTGTTAAAGACACGTCTGTGATTCGTAAAGGTGGATCCCCATTTTATCACCCCCTGGTCTTTCTTTGCTCATATAAAATAACCTTGTGAATTGGCGTAAGAATGCAAACAGAATGCAGCTGAGACATGCTGTCTGTCACTACTTCTCTGGAATAAGTGGACTTGCTTTAGTTATTGACTTAAGAGTTAAGAATTTTCTCTTACAAGAGTATCATCTTGGTCACATGTACTGACCAATGTTTGGATGGCTGACAGAACTCTGTAAATACTTTCATTGTTTTTTTTTAACTCTGTGTTTTTTGGAACTCAGAGATAAGAAATTCCAGGTATTGAGCAAGAGGTTTGTCTCAGAGGTTATAAACAAATCGGCAGTCTGAAGGCTAAATCCAGCCTACCCACATGTGTTGCTGGGTCTGCGGAGTGTGTTTTAAAAATGCAGAGTTATTTAGGGGCAAGGAGGTAGAGATTTCCATCACTTGGAGAATGAGTAGTCAAAATGTGGTGAAGGTACACCTTGATAAATATGTAGTTGTTAGAAACAATAAACAAAATGTACAAGAAAGCAAATGGGTGCATCTTAAATGCATACTGCTGTGTAGAAAAAAGGAGATGCATGATGCAATACCATTTACATAAAGTAAAATACACACACAATAGTGTAAATAGTACACACAAAACCAAAAAGCAGCACATTAGAATGGTTGCCTGTGAGGCAGAGGAGAATGAGATTGGGGGAAGGGGGATAAAAATTGTCATCATTTTTTAAATTAAGAGTTAACTTTACTGTTTGCAGATGACATGATCCTCTACATAGAAAATCCTAAAGACTCTACCAGAAAATTACTAGAGATAATCAACGAATACAGTGAAGTTGCAGGATATAAAATTAACACACAGAAATCTCTTGCATTCTTATACACTAACAATGAGAAAACAGAAAGAGAAATTAAGGAAACAATACCATTCACCATTGCAACAAAAAGAATAAAATACTTAGGAGTATATCTACCTAAAGAAACAAAAGACCTATACATAGAAAACTATAAAACACTGATGAAAGAAATCAAAGAGGACACAAACAGATGGAGAAATATACCGTGTTCATGGATTAGAAGAATCAATATTGTCAAAATGGCTATACTACCCAAAGCAATCTACAGATTCAATGCAATCCCTATCAAACTACCAACGGTATTTTTCACAGAACTAGAACGAATAATTTCACAATTTGTATGGAAATACAAAAAACCTCGAATAGCCAAAGTAATCCTGAGAAAGAAGAATGGAACTGGAGGAATCAATCTGCCTGACTTCAGACTATACTACAAAGCCACAGTCATCAAGACAGTATGGTACTGGCACAAAGACAGAAATATAGATCAATGGAACAGAATAGAAAGCCCAGAGATAAATCCACGAACCTATGGTCACCTTATCTTTGACAAAGGAGGCAAGGATATACAATGGAAAAAAGACAACCTCTTTAACAAGTGGTGCTGGGAAAACTGGTCAACCACCTGTAAAAGAATGAAACTAGAACACTTTCTAACACCATACACAAAAATAAACTCAAGATGGATTAAAGATCTAAATGTAAGACCAGAAACTATAAAACTCCTAGAGGAGAACATAGGCAAAACACTCTCCGACATAAATCACAGCAGGATCCTCTATGACCCACACCCCAGAATTTTAGAAACAAAAGCAAAAATAAACAAATGGGACCTAATGAAACTTAAAAGCTTTTGCACAACAAAGGAAACTATAAGCAAGGTGAAAAGACAGCCCTCAGATTGGGAGAAAATAATAGCAAACGAAGCAACAGACAAAGGATTAATCTCAAAAATATACAAGCAACTCCTCCAGCTCAACTCCAGAAAAATAAATGACCCAATCAAAAAATGGGCCAAAGAACTGAACAGACATTTCTCCAAGGAAGACATACAGATGGCTAACAAACACATGAAAAGATGCTCAACATCACTCATTATCAGAGAAATGCAAATCAAAACCACAATGAGGTACCATTACACACCAGTCAGGATGGCTGCTATCCAAAAGTCTACAAGCAATAAATGCTGGAGAGGGTGTGGAGAAAAGGGAACCCTCTTACACTGTTGGTGGGAATGCAAATTAGTACAGCCACTATGGAAAACAGTGTGGAGACTTCTTAAAAAGCTGGAAATAGAACTGCCATATGACCCAGCAATCCCACTTCTGGGCATACACACCGAGGAAACCAGATCTGAAAGAGACACGTGTACCCCAATGTTCATCGCAGCACTGTTTATAATAGCCAGAACATGGAAGCAACCTAGATGCCCATCAGCAGACGAATGGATGAGGAAGCTGTGGTACATATACACCATGGAATATTACTCAGCCATTAAAAAGAATTCATTTGAATCAGTTCTAATGAGATGGATGAAACTGGAGCCCATTATACAGAGCGAAGTAAGCCAGAAAGATAAAGACCATTACAGTATACTAACACATATATATGGAATTCAGAAAGATGGTAACGATAACCCTATGTGCAAAACAGAAAAAGAGACTCCTATGTATAGAACAGACTTGTGGACTCTGGGAGAAGGCGAGGGTGGGATGTTTCAAGAGAACAGCATTGAAACACGTATATTATCTAGGGTGAAACAGTTCACCAGCCCAGGTTGGGTGCATGAGACAAGTGCTCGGGCCTGGTGCACTGGGAAGACCCAGAGGGATTGGGTGGAGAGGGAGGTGGGAGGGGGGACCGGGATGGGGAATACATGTAAAAAAAAAAAAAAAAAAAGATACACTATGGTTGTGATAAAAAATAAATAAATTTAAAAAAAAAAAATAAGAGTTAACTTTAAAACCATCTTATTTTGAGAAGTGAGAATAATGGCTTTAACAGCTTCCATTCTCAAATAGCAATAACTGGGTTGGTGCCCTTGTTCAGCTTAGTCCAGCTGCTGCCTGCTCTGTTCTACTTAGCTTCTATAGATCCCTCCTAGAGTTCCATGACAGTGGACTCTGTACTAATTTTGGCCTTCCAGGTGCTTAAATGAGCTGAAATGCCTGCTATCTGGAGCTGACAAGCATTAGAGTTATGATTGAGAGGAGGAATGGGAATGTATTCAGGGTGGCATGAAGAAGGCTCACTAACTCTCTTGAGCTCACTCTTAGGTTCCTTGTTTGTCTGTCTTATCAATGTGACCTGTGTTTAAATTTTTCAACATGTAATCATCCGCTCCCATAACTTCCCAAATTTTAACAAAATTTCCGTCAGAGGTAGGTAGAGAGGTAGCCAGGTGACCTATGTATGGTCCTTTGAAAAGATAGGAGACATATCTTTTTATGAAAGTTGCAGTTAGTCTTGTGGTAGCAGGACAGAAAAAGCTAAACTCCCATCAGCTAAATAATTTCTTTAACTGGAAAAAGAAATGGTGTTAAAGCATCTGACCAACTTCCAGAGGCCTTAATCCAGTGGGTAGTTCTTACTGAATTCAGTGCTCTGAGAACCATGTCATGTGCTAAGTGCTGTGGAGGATAAGATAAAAATGCTGCCAGACCTAGAATGCCTGTCCTTTAGTCACTTTCAGGGGCTGGGGAGACAAGTCATATACACCCAGAGCGCTTAAACAGTAACACAGGAGCCCCAGGTGGTCTGATTCTGGATTCGTGTGTCATGTAGACAGAGCTCAGAACAACCGGTTTGAGCTAGAAAGATGGAAGAAGCCTTTACAGGAGGGCCTTTACAGGGTTAGGTTAGTAAGACCTAAAAAATCTGAGATGTAAGAAGCAGTAAAGAAAGAAAATGGTAAAATGTAGGTGAATCTAAATAAACATTAACCATACAAGCTGAAGGAATAATGTTGAATTTAGTTTTTTGAGTGTTGAATTTTAAGCCAGCTTTTTCCTTCACCTCTTTAACCCTCCTCAAGAGGCTCTTTAGTTCCTCTTCACTTTTGACCATTAGAGTGATAGTATCTGCATATCTGAGGTTGTTACTATTTCTTCTGGCAGTCTTGATTCCAGCTTGTGATTCATCCAGTCCGGCATTCCACGTGATGTACTCTACATATAAGTTAAATAAGCAGGGTGACAGTGTACAACCTTGATGTACTCTTGCCCCAGTTTTGAACCAGTCGGTTTGTCCATGTCTATATTTTAGATCCCACATGTAAGTGAAATCATACAGTGTTGGTCTAGCCATGTTGTGGAAAATGGCAAGATTTCATTCTTTTTTATGGCTGAGTATATCCATTGTATGTGTATGAATGGATAATGGAAGAGAAAGACAAATACCATATGATGTCACTTATATGTGGAATCTAAAACATGACACAAGTGAACCTATTTACGAAATAGAAACAGACTCACAGACATAGTGAAGGTTGATTCTGTGTTTGGAAATCTGTTGATTTCCATGGATGAACAGATTACTGGAACTATCCACACTGACTGTCCCTGCCTTCTGCCACAGGACTAGATCACACTGCCCTCATAGCAGTGATCACAATTGTAATGAAACCATTTTTTGTGTGTTTAGAGTCTGCCGCCCCAAACAGAATGTTGCCTCCATCAAGGCAGGAATTTTATCCATATTGTTAATTGTGGTCACTAATAATTTGTTAGATGAGTGGATAAATGAGTGGGTGAAAGTGAAAATCGCTCAGTCGTGTCCAGTTCTTTGGGACCCCATGGACTATACAGTCCATGGAATTCTCCAGGCCAGAATACCGGGGCAGGGTAGCCATTCCCTTTTCCAGGGGATCTTCCCAGCCCAGGTCAAACCCAGGTCTCCTGCTTTGCCCATGGATTCTTTACCAGCTGAGCCACAAGGGGAGCCCAAGAATACTGGAGTGGGTAGCTTGTCCCTTCTCTCGCAGATCTTCCCTACCCAGGAATCAAACTGGGTTCTTCTGTATTGCAGACGGATTCTTTACCAACTGAGCTATCAGGAAAGCCCCCAAATGGGTGGGCGGTTGAGTTGAACTAAATGACTTGGATCCTCCCACCGTAGATCCAGTACTCTGTCTTTATAGAAGGATGTTTATTCTTTTCTCTTGTGATGATTCCTTCTAAGCCTTAATTCTACTGAGATTAGTGACCCATGGACAGGGGAGCCTGGCAGTCCACGGGGTTGCAAAGAGTCGGACACAACTAAGCAACTAACACACACCCAACAGGGATATCTGAAGCTTAATATGGGAGAGAGACTTTACAGAAACCATCTGGGCCGTTATTTATGGGTCCTGTTCACAGATAGAAATACACAGCCCTGTGTTCTGCTGGGAGCATAGAGGAGTCGCTGACCCTCGGTCAGAGCTGAAGCCCACACCCGCTCTGTTCTCAGGAATGCCTGGCTGTTGTGTGTCTGTCTTTCTTCCCATCCTCATTCCTTTTTCTCTCTTCTCTTCCTGCTGTCTTTTGTTAGAGAACTTCCCTCAGTGCGTGCTGGAGATCTCTGATAAGGAGGTGTTGGAATGGTACACGGCCAAAGACTTCATCGTTGGGAAGCCGCTCACTATACTCGGGAGAACTTTCTTCATTTATGATTGTGATCCATTTACTCGGCAGTATTACCAAGAAAAATTTGGAATCTCTGATTTACCACGCATTGATATGAGCAAGAAGGAACCACCTCCTATGAAACAGGTAATGGAACACTGGCTCTGAGGGCAGTAAGAGAGTTCATCTTCTGATAGAGGAGTTTAAGGTAAAAAAGGGCTCTTATATGAATACCCAATTAAAAAATGGGCAAAACATATGAAATAGAGCAGTTCATAAAAGAAGAAATACAAACAGCTAATGAACACGTGGAAAGACCCTCAACTCATCATCAGAAAATAGAAATTAAAATACTGAGGTTTAGGATTTTTGATTTAAAAAGACAGCATCCAACATTTGCCCTGATGTGATGAAATAAGCATTTTCCTGGACTGCTAATAGGTGACCCAGTGAGGAAAACTCTGAAAGGCTGTTTGTTGCCATTTTAACTTTTCCAAAATAAAATACTACCTATCTCTTGACCCAGAGAATCTGGTTCAGGGATTATAAAAAGGTAGGTGTAAGGACCTATATTGTAGCATTATTTATAATAAGGTGTTAGAACGTTGGCCAAATAAATTATAGTATATCCATCCATATAAGTCTTCCATAGAAGACTAAGTCTTGTTAAAAAAAAAAAAAAGAGGAAATCTATGCATATTAGGATGAAAAAAATGTCCATAACATTTTTAAGGGAGCGTGAATACATGATGTGGCACTAATTTCTGTAGATTACTGTATACAACATTTGCTTACGTCACTGAGGAAAAGATCTGGAGGAATGTTTCCCCAGATGATCTACAGTTGTTAGTTCTCCAGTGGGCAGAGGGAAGGGAACTAAGAGGGAAGTGGGAGATGACCAGGGACCTGCTTTTTATATTGTGTGGTTTTAATTTCACTTTCTATTCCAAGCTGTGTATTACTTTAATAATTTTTTTAAATTTTTGATTAAATTCCAGACCCCTAAGACATTTTTTTCTTTTTTTTTTTTATTTGCCTATTTATCAAACCCTTTCACTTAAAAAGTGATTGGGAGCAAAAAAAAATCTGATTAATTGAAGATGTTAGAAATGGTGTTCTTTAATTGCAGTATTGCTGTCCATAAAAATCAGGCAGAACTCCAGAATTCAGTTCTGTGCATCTCAAAGTCCACTGTGATCTGAGAGTAAGTTCATGGTGTCTTTAATGCACCAAAATAGTAATCTAGTAAACTTGAGCCTTCAGAATGGCTCAGCCACGTATTTTAGAGTTTGAAGTGACAACTGCATGTTTTCAGAATTACACAGCCAATTCCAGAAGCATCTCACATGTCAAGGCCCACAGTGTCATAGACCAAAGGCACTGGTGCTGTTACACCTGTCTGGGGGAAGAACAATTGACACAGCCTCTTTGTGCGTTGTTCGTGTATAAAATAGTGTGTGAGCATCCATGGCCCGTCTTTATTTTGCCAGCATGTGTGTAAAATTATGTCAGCGGCCTCTTTCCAAAAGACAGTGATTGGCAGGATGGGATGATTGAGTTCCTCCAGCCTGGCCCCTGCTTTACCCACATCTCTTGGCCCGAGCCGCTTGCATATCGCTGAGTTACGAGGGTTCTGGGTCCTGTTTTATCCCCAGGACTTCTGCTAATGTTCCTGCTCCTGCTCGAACCACTTTCGCATCATTTCTTTACATGGCTCTCTCACCTCTCGCAGCTTAGTGTAGGCTTGCTTTCTTCCAAGAAGCAAGTACTTTTAAGCTGTCCTCAGTCATTACCCCTTGGCCGTCTAAACTCTACACAATGAAGTGGGGATGCAGGGATGGGAGGCTAGCAGCTTCTAGAGGCACCAAGCCAGAGTCAAGCCAGTGGGCAGGGACAGAGCTGGATATGAAGTGCGTATATTTGATTTGAGAATCTTGACCCTCAGATCAGGAGTAAGTTGACATGGATCCAGAGACCACATGAGCTAGATCTCAGACTCGGTCCATCTGGAGACATGCTGGTAGGGAGGAGGAAGAAGCCAGGGCCAGGAGGGCCCATCTGCCATGGAGCCGGCCTCTGAACACAGCGTTTAAAGGATGAGGGGCTCTCAGACTGTGTGTGTGTGTGTGTGTGTGTACATGTTAAAAAAAACAAAAAACCCTGGGCAGGAACTCTGGCGGGTAGGTCATTGGAACAGGGGTATCTAGGAGTGGTGTTGTCCACAGAGGAATAGCTCTAGTTTGGAACAGGACCCATGCAGCAGCTTGGCATATGATGGAGTGTGAGAAGCATTGTACCAGGGCGCCAGGCAGAAGGGCTGATATTTAGAGAAGGCCTGCATCCCAAGAGGGGAAATGAGATTCGATTTGAGGGAAATAGGTGGAATCCTGTTAAAACACAAAAGGAATTTGGCAGGAAGGTGCTCAGAAGCTTACCTCCCTATTTCAAAACCCCTTAACCTCCCCTGCACCCCCACCCAGGTTGCTCTCACCGTGTATTGATATTAGATTGAGCCACTGCATTTCTGCTACTTACAGGTAAGTTAGAGCTTAGCATGTCGGCAGTGCTATGGGCAGCTTAGCATGAGGGACTTTCAACCAAAGTTGCTCTGTCCGTGGCAGCTTACATATTCACTGCCTACTGGTTTTGCATTTGGGACAAATTAGTCATTGTCCATCTACTGGATCCACTAGTCACACTTCCCTGGTGTGTGTCAGATGGTAAAAGCATCTGCCTACAATGCGGGAGACCTGGGTTCGATCCCTGGGTTGGGAAGATCCCCTGGAGGAGGAAATGGCAACCCACTCCAGTATTCTTGCCTGGAAAATCCCATGGATGGAGGAGCCTGGCAGGCTACAGTCCATGGGGTCGTAAAGAGTCGGACACAACTGAGCGACTTCACTTAACTTAGTCACATTCCAGCCATGCAGATCATATTAATCACATACAGCCCAGAGGTGGGTGAAGGATCAGTGTTCTAAGCCCTTCACCTTGAATGAACATAACAGAATCCATGGTTTTTGAGGGAGTCCCCATTATAGATGGATCAGGGCTCATACAGACTAATTTGTTAAACTTGCTGAATACAATATGTTCGAAAATTTGGGGAAGATATCTACAGGTGAAAGCATGGTACAAGCAAGTTTGCTGAGAAAGCAGCACAAAAATGAGTCAGAGAAAAAGATTCAGCTGCAGTCTGCCTGGCATTGATGACAGGGAGAAAAGCTCTGAATTATTAATACTTAAGTTTTTGACAAATCCCAGCATCCTGTAGTGGTACCTTCAGCCCTTTGTTCATGACAAACGTAACTTCACCCTGTACTTCCACACTCACCGAATAATCTTTGCATCTGGAATTCAGTTCCATGAGTTTACTTCTTCACCAGGAAAGAGGAGTCCTGTGTGGACAGTGGGGGGTCTGAGTTCTCAGTAAAGTATGACTGTCATTTTTATGAGGCAAAAATCAAGAAATAAAAATATCAGAAGTATGGAGGTAAATAGGAAAAAAAAGCATGAACCAAGCCCTGATGCCTCCACCCCACCCCCAGCTCCAACACACAGATGTGCGCGCTGTGGGTGAGCTGAGAAAATGGTTTCCAGATATGCCAGGCTGAGACCTACACCCCAGAACAAGGAAGTCACAGGCCCTTGGGCCTCACCAGGCTGCAAGTCCGCGAGTACCAGGGCTGGGGAGCAGGGCAAGGCTCTGCTGTGGCGGTAAGAGGTCAGTGGACATCAGTGATGTCTCAGTCCAGTCTGGAGGGTTACTTTGTAGCATCATGAGTCACTTGTGTGAGCAGTGATCAAGGGCGTAAAATCTGTAAAGAGGAATGGAATATGTGATATGTTGTTTTCTCCGATTGCATTTGAATATGTAGAAATTACTTTTAAATATTTTCCAGACTTTAAAAAGAAACTTATAGTTACCTTTAATGAAATTTTAAAAATAAGCATCTGCTTTATTTCTTGCTTCCTTTTTTTCTTCAGGAGTTGCCTCCCTATAATGGCTTTGGCCTAATTGAAGACTCTGCTCAAAATTGCTTTGCTCTCATTCCAAAAGCTCCCAAAAAAGATGTTATTAAGATGCTGATGAACGAGAACAAGGTGCTTCGTTATTTGGCCACAGTGGTGAGGACAGTTTTTATATCCTGAGATTCAGTTGTGTCTCAGTACTGTGCACAGTTGTCCGTTTTGCCTGTAAGCTAGAGAGTAACTAATAGCTGTCGGAGTTCTGTGTTTACTTAGCACATAACTCCAGCCTTCAGGCAGGGTGGGTGCCATTAAGCATGGTGCTCCCGAACCAAGATCTAGCTCAAGTCCTGTCTGCATTCAGAATTTTTCTGAGATCATTAATCTCTCCTCTCTAGCCCTCAAATTTTGACCAACTTTTTGGCCTTTTTTATTAAGCAGTTATGAAAGCCTTGACTTATATTCAAAGTATCTGTCTCTTTGTGTGCCTTTCCAGTGAACTGTCATTTCCTTGACAGTAGGGACCATGTCTTTTATAGTCATTAAATGTAACAAATGGAATTGTACTAATTTAATAGGTAACTTTGGAAAGTCATATGTTTAGTGGCTAAGAGGTTTGGAAAGAGACAAATTTAGATCCTGAATGTTCCACTCAGTGGCTGAATTGCCTGAAGCAAAATACTGATAAGAATTCAAAGGGTAATATCTTTAAAAATAGGAAAAAAAGCATAAATAGAAAATAAGTTCTATTTAGAAATGTAGACATAAATAGCAGAAATTGACATGTTACTCTGGCAATAGAAATGTGTTTGAAAAATGAGAACATAGTTAACTGATAAGTTTTTTGAAATGTTGAACAAAGCTTTGAAATGAGAGTTCTAGCAAATTCTAGGCCAATTAGAACATTCCACACTGTAAGAATTCTGGTAGGGCAGAAACCAACACAACATTGTAAAGCAATTTTCCTGATTAAAAAATAAATTAAGAATAAAATTGTGATTAATGAAGGTTTTGCCATTGTTGCTCAGTTCTTTGAGTTACTATTAAAATTCAAGAGTTTTGTTGAATTATAGTAATTGTGAATTCCTTGAGGGCGGGGGTAGTGTCTCTTTAGACTTTGTAGGCACTTGATAACTATTGGTTGAGTTGGTAAGTGAATTTATTTACACGTACACTGTCCATAAGTCAGGCAATATAATGTTATACTCATTTTATGTTTTGAAATATAAGAATCAGAGAGGTTAATTGGTGTGTCCCAGGTTTTAGTGCTTAGACAGAGGCAGAAATGGCACTCAACCTAATGAAAACTCTTAAGTTAAAAAGATACATGCACCCCAGTGTTAATAGCAGTACTGTTTAAAATAGCCAAGGAAATGGCAACCCATTCCAGTATTCTTGCCTGGAAAAACCCATGGACAGAGGAGCCTGATAGGCTACAGTCCATGGGGTGGCAAAGAGTCAGACACGACTGAGCGACTTCACTTTCACTTTCACTTTAAAATAGCCAAGAGTGGAAGCAACCTAAATGTCCATCAACAGAGGAATGGGTATAAAGAAGTTGTGTGGAAGGGTGTGTGTGTGTCTGTAATGGAATATTACTCAGCCACAAGAAAACTGTGAAATAATTTGCAGCAACATGGATTGACCTAAAGATTATCATATCAAGAATTTCAGTGAACAAGCCTGAAAGAGAAGAGTGAAGTAGAAAATTAGCATTATGCACACACCATAGTAAACTTGTTGCTGACCAGATCCATCAAAAGATGCTAATTTTAGCATCTGTGGGAAAACCTTTGGGGAGAAACATGTTTTTCGTAGTTTCTAAGTATCTCCCTCAAGATATTTATTAACTGCAAAGGGAAAGATGGTGACTTCCTCGGAGAGAAATCTACCAGGCATCTTCTTAACCAAGTGATCAAGGTCAGCATCACCAATAAAAAGACGTTTTAACATCATGGACTCCTTGATATGCACAAAAAAGGATCTTCATAAATGTTCCTCCCCTTTAAAATTTTCTTTTTTAAATTATGTATAGAAATGGATTTGTGTAAAGGCATAGACTTTGCGTAATTACTTTAGTGTCCTTGAAGCTGAACATAATGTCAGCTGAGAGGTTTCAGACTAGCCAGCTTTGGATAGAATATAGCCCATATGTTCTCTCTGGCCTGCCTGGTGCTTTTAAAGAGTTGGAAGTCAACATGTTAAAGTCAGGGATTTAATATAGTAATCCATATCTCTATCTTCTCACGGAAAATTGGAAGATCTAGCAACATTGGGCCTGCATTCATTCCCACAGGCAACAGTCAGCTGGTGTGAGTTGGGGCAGCTTCCCTTAGGTGAGGTGTACCCTGCCCAGACCTCCAGAGTACCCACATACTGTTCATTCCTGTTATATTCCATATGTTAGGTTTATATTGTACCCTAGTCTCTGTAGGTATTTTAGTTGGCAGCATCTGCATAGATCATGTATCTTCATAATGTCCTCTTTTCTTCACCTTTCCAGGAATCCCCCATCCCAGAAGACAAAGACCGCCGGTTTGTCTTGTCTTATTTTCTAGCCACTGACATGATCAGTATCTTTGAGCCTCCTGTTCGAAATTCTGGTATCATTGGGGGCAAGTATCTCGGCAGAACTAAAGTTGTCAAACCAGGTTCCTCAGTGGAAAACCCTGTCTACTATGGCCCCAGTGACTTCTTCATTGGTGCTGTGATTGAGGGTAGGTCTCAGCAGAGTTCAGGCTTTCCTACTGGACTTATTGGGGATTTAACTCAGTGAACCCTTGAAGGAGGCGTTAGTCTGCAGTCCAGAAGTACATGTGGTTCAGTGTCTTAATGTCCTCCTTTATCAATTAAACTGTAAATGGTTGCATTTATTGGCTGTAGATGGAGACTTGGAGTTCCCTAAATGCTGAGCAAACTAGTGCATATTAGTTTGGAGAGCTATTTAAGGTTCATTAGTCTAGGTCACAAAATACATGTCCGTGAATTTTTACTCTTGGTTGCCTGATAAAAACATAACCCGGCTAATGTATTTCTACCTTCTCCCCAGTGTTTGGCCGCCGGTTCGTCATCCTTGATACAGATGATTACGTTTTGAAATACATGGAGAGCAATGCTGCCCAGTATTCACCAGAAGCACTCCTGTCGATTCAGAACTGCATTCGAAAGCAAGAGGCTCCTGCACCAGAATTGGATGGGTATGTCTGACCTTCTGAGATCCATTTTGGCTTTGGCACAATGAGATATTCAGGAAACAGTTCTTAACAAAATGAATGGGAGTCACATTTTAGCTCTTCAGATTTCCCTCACCAATGGAAATTCTTATACACAGGTGGTGGTGGTTGTTTAGTCACTAAGTCATGTCCTACTCTTTTGTGACCCCATGAACTATAGCCCGCCAGGCTCCTCTGTCCAGGGGATTTCCCAGGCAAGAATACTGGAGTGGGTTGCCATTTCCTTCTCCAGGGGATCTTCCTGACCCAGGTATGGAACCTGTGTTTGCTGCTTGGCAGGTGGTTTATACAGGTTACCTGGGTTTAATATAATAACTTGGGTTTCCTTGGTGCCTCAGTGGTAAAGAATCTGCCTGCCAAGGTAGGAGACACCAGTTCAATTCCTGGGTTGGGAAGATCCCCTGGAGAAGCAAAAGGCAACCTACTCCAGTATTAATGCCTGGGAAATCGCATGGACATAGGACCCTGGTGAGATGCAATCCATTTTGGGTCTCAGAGTCAGACATGACTTAGTGACTGAACAACAATGATTAAAACAGGGGCTATAGGGGAGATGAGAGAAGGAGGAGGTAAGGATGGTTGGGAAGGAGGAGTTGCCACCAGCTGGGATGGAGAAGTATATTGTAGGTAGAGGAGTATGTTTTGGAGGTGGTGGCGTGGTGGGGGTGTTTCAGTTTTGGACATACCAGGGTTGAAGATACCTTTAGATATTCAAATAGAGTGATCAAACAGGCTGTTGGACATATAAATCTGGAGTTCAAGTGAGAGGCCTAGGCTGTGGGAGTTGTGGGCATATAAATGATATTTTAAGCCATGAGACTTAAAGGTAAAATCGCTAAGGTAGTCTTTATAGACAGAGAAGAAAGAATAGCTCCAAGGATTGCACTCTGGAGTCCTCCGGCAGTAAGAGTTGGGAAGAGAAACTGGGCAGGACAGCTAGTGAGGCAGGAAGAAAGCCAAGCAGGTGTGGTGTCCTGGAATCCAGGTGGAGGCTCCAGGTGTCCCCTTTAGCCCAGAAGTTTATAGTGGGATTATAAATGTGACCTCGCGGACAGTCTTTGTGCCAATGGGAAAATTCGCTCTTGTTCTGCAACTTCAAAAGCTTTTTGTCAAAACATGAAAAACTCTGATGGTTACAAATGTATAGGGAGATTAAAAAATGGTAAAATTCATTTTTATTTAGTCCACTGTAATTTTAAGACATTGCCAACACTGAGGATTAAAAATCTTTCATTTCTTTGTAAAAAACATAAGAGTAGGAACAGTGCTTGCCTTCTTGTTGTCATGCAATCTGTGATTCAGAGTAAGTATCTTTTCTATGCCTCCGCAAATCATCAGATTTCTTTCCAAGTTTGAATCAACTTCTTATTTTTGCTTTTGGTGTTGTGAATACATCCTAGAGTTCCTTTAATGACAGTGAAATATCTCAAGAGTGCTTTTAATGTGAAGTTTTTGAGCTTCTCAGGTGGCTCAGATGGTAAAGAACCCGCCTGCAGTGCGGGAGACCTGGGTTCGATCCCTGGGTTGGGAACACCTCCTGGAGAAGGGAATGGCAACCCACTCCGGTACTCTCCCCTGGAGAATCCCACAGACAGAGGAGCCTGGCAGGCTGCAGTCCATGGGGTCACAGAGAGTCGGACACGACTGAGTGATTTTCGCTTCACGTCTTGCTGGCATCTGGGATATCATGATCCTTTTTGTCCCGATCATGTCCTTCATTTGCGTCAGTGCACCGGCTCTTGCTGGGGTCCTCCGGCTGCACATCGAGTCTCTTGAACGGCGGCAGTGTCCGCATTCCCACAGTCAGCTAGTTCTTCTGTAACTCCGTTGTGTTTGACCTGAATTCTCCTTTCTAGCTCTATCACTTTGGGGATTTTTTTTTTTTTTTTTGCTGCCCTCTCATCTGTGCTGACCAAAGTTCTCTCCTTCATTGTCCATTTTTGTAAACTGTCACTTGAGTTTATCCTTTAGAGAAAAGGAGACAACACAGCTACACACTTTGCTGTCTGTGTGTGGCTTGAAAAACATGCCTGGTTACTAGTTACTGACAGATTTTGAAGGGAGGATATGCTTGTCATTGATTGTGACACACATCTGCTATTTATACAGTGACTTGTGGGCTAGAAATCTGACAGTGAGTTTTCACTTTAGGCAGTAATTCACAGTTAATGAACTGTGGTAACTGAATGTCGAACCATGTTGTTGAGGGACTGGGTTATTTAACCAGTAAACTGTGGTAACTGAAATTCATGCATATCTGAGCCGTGCGAAGTCGTAATTGCTTGCACATCAACGAAGACAGTGATTCACTGTCTCAGGTAAGGATTTAGCAACAAGTAGGCACTGGGGACCTCAGTGAGGACTTTCACTGGAATAGAGGGGGTGGACTTAAGAGATGGGAGGAGAGGAACTTGAGGACGTTGGTGCAAAGGGGAACAGGGAGATGGGGAGTAGCTGGCAGAGGAAGTGGAGCTGAGAGAGGGCTTTTTGATTTGTTTATAAGAATAAAGAGCAGCAAGTTTGTATGTAAATGGGAATAATTCTGTAGGGAAGGAAGCACTGATAAATCTGTGAGAGGGGAGATTTGTAGTGTCTGTGAGAGACGGTGGGGTGTTCAGGACACGAGGGGAGGAACTGGCTTTAGAAGGAAGCATCCGTCATCCATCTCGGGCAGTGGTTCACTGATGTTTTTGTTCTCAGGACACCTTTACGTTCCTAAAACTTATTGAAGACCTCAAAAGCTTTTGGTTTACGTGGTTTATATCTGTTGATGTTTGCCTTATTAGAAATGATAGCTGAGGCATTTAAAAATATTTATTAATGTTTAAAAAAGCCATTTCGTGTTAATACAAATAACTTAATTTTTATGAAAAATAACTATTATACCCGCAAACTACCCCCCAAAAAGAGTGGCAGCATTGTTTCACATTTTTGCAAGTGTCTTTAATGTCTGACTTTATTATTAGACAGCTGGATTTTCATCTGCCTCTGTACTGGGCCTACTGTGATATCATTTGTCATGTAATCTTTGGAAGAGTCCTCTGTGGATGTGTGAGAAATCAGGAGTAAAGAAGCAGATAACAGTGTAGTAGTATTATGAGAGCAGCTTTGACCTCAGACTTCCACGAGGGTCTCGAGAAGCTCCCAGGGTCCCTGGATTACTCTCTGAAAACATAATGTGTGTGCCAGGCAGGAAGGCAGGGTGTGTGGGTGCAGGTGCTGGAAGGTTGGTTGAGGGGTCCTTCTCATTGTTTCACTGTTTTCACCATAGCAGTGCAGTAGGAAGAATGTGGATGCAGAGATGTTGGAGGTTCCGGGAGGAGAAGTTGGGAAATGTTCTATTGACTCTACAAAGAAATAAAATGAATATAAAAATAAAGTGAAAATAAATGCATACCATCATTTTACCTGCTACTAAGAAAGAAAGACTGTCAGTTATAATTGAGACTCACCGTCAATTTTAAAATGCATCCTGATTCTAGAGATGTGAAAAAATACGAAGGAAAATGAGTCTCTTCGGCTGGTGAAACATGACAGCCGTCTGGGAGAGTGGGAGGCAGATGGCACGAGAGCCAGTTAGGTGGCTGGGCACCAGGAAGGGCCAGGTTGAGATTCACGGCACACATTTAACTCGAGTACTTCTCAAAAGCTTTTTTCTGTAATTTCCCCCTGTCTCTGCAAATACCAGGAACACTGGAAAGCTGCTTGCTTTGGCGTACCTCAGGTGGGCTGTTTTCTCCCCCTTTATTTAGTAATGAGAAAAAGATAGCATCAGGGCACTTAGAGTAAGATATGAATAAAAATAAATTCAAGTTCTGGGTTAACAGATCCATGGCTATCGTCGTTCTGACCCTCACTTTGCTTCTCTTCTCTTGTGATGAGTCGGGGTAAATGAGAGAAAATGCTCAAAGGTGCTATGAACCCCGGGGTCTCACCCTTCATGTCTTATAGCCATACTTCTTTTGGCTCCTGACTCCACCCATCTGGTAAAGAATCCCACTCTAAGGAACTGCAAACCCTGTATTTGGCTGATCATTGCTAAGAATAATGAAAGGGATCCTGAGTACTTGTCATGCCCAAGAACTTTTTATGTCCAGTGTTGGCTACTGGATGATGAAATTTGGAGTTAGCCATCTTCTTTCTCTGAGCCATAAAATTAAAACAGTGCCCACGTGATTGGAGTGTTGACTTCATCTGAAGTTCTGTTCAGGTTTAGGTCCCCCCACTGGCAGGTGGGTTCTTTACCACTGAGCTACCAGGGAAGCCGTCCATATTCACTCTGCAGTTGGGCTCAAGTAGATCCAGTGTGAGTGGCTTCCATTTTCCTACTCTTTGCCTTGGAATGTTTCTTTACTAAGCTCTTTACTTTCTTGTCACAGCTAAGTAGCTCCCATTTCTCCAAAGTAAATTCTTTTGTGTCTGTCACTGCCTCCTTTCTGACTGCGCTAGTATCCAAATACTCTCCAGGAGTTGTTTCTTGAGGTCACTGGTTGTTTTCAGATCTAATGGTCTCTTGTCATTTATTCATTAATTCAGCGATATTGGAGCCTGCACCACATGCCAGACCTTAATAAACACTCAAGGCAGCCAGATGAGAGAATAGGAGCTCGTTGTCTAGGGCAGAGGTTGGCAGACTCTTTTGGAAAGAGTAGTAAATAATTTAGGTTTGTAAGCCATACCAGCATCTCTGTTGTAAACTCCTCAGCTCTGCCTTTGTGGGGTGAAAGCAGCCATAGCCAGTTTGTAAATGAATAGGTATGACTGTATTTCACTTAAACTTTATTTAGAAAAACAGGCTGCCCACTGGCTTTGGCCTTTGGGCCAACCCCCCGATCTAGTGTTCAGCCTTTTTGATCTACATACAATGTAAATTGTTTTTTTACCACAGTGCCTTCTGACTCATCTGCCCACCTCCATTCCCTTCTTTAACCCATTGCACACGAGTTACCAGACCGAAAGTTATC